TGCATCCCTAGCACCTTGCACATTCCCAATTATGAGATCACAAACAGCACCTTCCATTACTACAGTTAAGAGGGTTTACCTTTTGGGAAATAGGAAATGGCCCTTTCCAAGACATAAGTAATTTGTTGGAATCTGTTGGGAGTAAAACCAAAACCTCGTTCCCTATCTCTAACTCTCTAGGTTTCGCCTTTTTGTCATAATACTTCTTGTAACGTTTACTAGCTTTATGTAATTCATTTTTGGCTATTTTACAAGTGTGTTCCAATCTATCCTTCAAATCAAGAACATAGTTATAGGCTGGCTTTTGTTCACAATGTGTACGAGACCCTGTCCATAACTCTTTGATAATCATCATTGGCCCCCTGACGCTACGGCCATATAGTAACTCAAATGGTGAGAAACCAGTGCTCTCTTGGGGTACCTCCCTGTAGGCGAATAATAATGGGTCTATATACCTATCCCAATCTTTCGGCTTCTCTTCGCACATCTTTTTCAACATGCCCTTTAAGGTTCCATTAAATTTTTCTACTAACCCGTTACACATAGCATGATAAGGTGTTGTAGTGAAACTTTTAATGGACAACAGTCTGTTAACTTCAGACATTAATTTAGACGTGAATTGGGACCCTTGGTCGGATAACACTTCATTTGGGAACCCCAGTCTTGAATAAATTGAAATTAAAGCCTCAGCAATTGTTACAGTTTCTATGTTTTTTAAGGGAACGGCTTCTGGATACCTGGTAGAGTAATCCACTAAAACTAGAATAAATTTATGGCCCCGTGTGGTGATAGGTTTGATTGGTCCCACTAAATCAATCCCAACTCTTTGGAACGGCTCACCAATAACTGGCATACTGCCTAGGGGTACCTTAGTAACTCTTCCTTTTGGAACTGTCCGTTGACAGATGTCGCAAGATTGACAGTAACGTCTTACATCACCCTGCATCCCTGGCCAAAAAAAACAAGTTAGAATTTTATCATAAGTTTTCTTACTTCCCATGTGTCCCCCTACAATAGATTCATGTGCAATTCGCAGAACGTGATTTCTAAAACATTTAGGAACAACAACTTGTCTTATGATATTTCCCAACTCCACTTTGGGCGAGGTGAACTCTCTAAATAAAATTCCCTTATCGTCATAAACATATTCAAATTCTCCACAGCCCCTATCCTTATACTTACCAGTCCCCGCTAATTCCCTTGGCTTGCACAATGTGGGATCTGACTTTTGCTTGGTTATCAAATCTTCTGGGGTTACTTCATCTATTGGGCTTACAACTTTTAACTTACTCACCTTTTTCACTTCATTTGCCTTAGCTTGGCTTCTAGTCATCACTGCTGCTGTTATTTCTTGTTTCTTTCTCCACTCTTTATTTGGGTCGTTTGCATCCCTAGCACCTTGCACATTCCCAATTATGAGATCACAAACAGCACCTTCCATTACTACAGCTTGCACCGATCCTACTAAAAACGGGGTATCCACATCAATTAAAGCAACGGGAAAACTTTTAACTGTACCATCTATAAGCATAACAACTTTCTCCTCCCCGGTATACTGTGCTGACTCAACATATGCACTATTAACCACAACATTTGTACAGCCCGAATCACGCAAAACTTGAACTTCATACTTACCAATATATCCAGTTTGTATCGGCATCTTATTATCGTCACCTTCACATGATACTAATTTAGTTGCAACTGGTAAATCATTAGGCTTTTTATAAACATCAGAATAAGTATTCTCTATAGAAGAAACCCACTTACCTTTTCCCATCGGATCAGCTTCTCTTTTCCCTATCATCCCCGCACTAATGTTTTTCTTTCTATAACAATCACGGGCAACATGACCAACTCGATTACAAATGTAGCATCTACGAGGAGCATAAGTCACAGGACCTCCCCTTCTATACGTTTCCCTAGGACGACTATCTCTAGGACCATTATCTTTAAAACTAACTCCAGGACCATCATAACTACTCATTGAAGAACACTTTCCCCTTTCAAAATGAACAGGTTGGGTTCCCTTCCAAAACCCACGGGCTTCTAAATACTGATTAGAAAAACTTGCCATAGTTATGGAATCTTTAGGTTTTCTTTCTCTTAAGAAAATAGCATGTTCCTTAGAACAACAGGACAAAAACTGTTCCATAAGCAATAATTCTATGAGGCCATTAAAATCTTTTACGTCTGACATCTCAATCCATCTATTTAAGTAATTTTTCAATCTATTAAGGAATTTTGTCCCATTTTCAGCCGATTCGGGTCTTATTTCTCTAAATTTCTTTCTAAAGCCATCTGCCGTTAAGTGGTAAGCTTTTAAAACTACCTGTTTTACTTTATCATAATTATTAATTTCGTCTGGAGGAAGAAGAGAATATTCAAATAAGGCAGTACCCTGTAATAAAGCACCCAAATTAGTTGCCCATTCCTGATCCCTTTTCCAACCCTGGGTGGTGGCATAACGTTCAAACCTACTTATGTAAGCATCGATATCATCTTTTTCGGGATTAAAGGGTGGTAATTTAGGGGGTTTACCCTTGGAACTAGAAATAATCGTATCATTAGCGGCTACTTGATGTGCAGCCTTTGCCTGTTCAAGTTGTAATTGTAATTGCAATATTTTAACTTTTTCTGCCTCCTTTTTCAAATCTATATCAGCCTCAACACGCTTTTTATCCAATTCAATCTCAAGATCAATCTCTTTCCTCCTCTTCTCGTCTTCCCTCATCTCTGCCCTAAGTGCTCTCTCTACATCTCTCTGCTCATTTAACTTCTGTCTCTCTTCATCTACAAATACTCTTAACTCTTTTCCCGATAACCCGAACTCCTTACCTATTTCTATCAACTTTTCTACTTCCAAATGAGATGCCATATTGATGCAAATTTAACCGTTACGTTAACAACTTTACAATGTATATCTTTATGTTCGTATATTTACTTATTAAGTCTTTTGCATGTACAATTATTATGTCGAATAACATTTATTACCTC